TCTGTTTGGGGCAATTTTGTCTGATAGAGGCAGTTTGCGCCAAGTTTTAAGAAGGTCTGTCCAAAATGGATCATTTTTTATATCCATCCTTGTGACCTCTCGATGGGAATTTGTTGGCTGAACAGAGCGCTGCGTACTGCCCTTAGGGATGGGCCAGTAACGATTCTCCAACCATGTCAGTGGATCAGTCCCATTGGGTACTTCCGGGGCTAGTCTTGAGATCCGTTCTTCTGCTAGAGCTGCCCAGGGGGTCTTTCGATTGAAAAGTAGTTTTTTAATCCACTGAATCGAAAGGGCCCTGGCTTGGGTAGAGGGGTCTAATATTCCCACTCCTCCTTGTGTTTTGGGTTGGATCACTGCCTGCCATGCCACTCTGCTTAATACATTTTTATGATCGTGGTTTCCTCTCCACATGTATGCTGTTATTTGTCGTTAAAGGGGTTTAAGAGTTGTTTTATCCAGTGCCCATACTACTGATTTGTACCGGAGTGAGGCTAAGATGACATTGTTAATGACCAGTGACCGTCCTATGATAGAGGTTCGTTTGTCCTTCCATAATTCCAATTTCGCCAGAGCAGGTTTTCGTATCCATTTATTATTCTCAGTTGGCTTGCCCATTGCAGAGAGTGAAACACCCAGGATCCTGATTGAATTAATTGTTGGGACCCAGTTAATCCTTGGGTGTTCTGGCGGTCTCACCCCCTGATGATGTATCCACCAACCTTGCGTTTTTGTGCCCCAATTGATTCTCATATCTGAGAGAGCGCAAAATTTATCCATTAATTCCTTAATTTCTCTTAAATTTTCATGAGAGGCTTCTATCATCAGGGAGAGGTCATCTGCAAACAGAGAGCAAACTGGTATGGCCTCTTTAGGAATGTAACCGACCTGAATTCGTCTGATATCCTTGTTACACCTCAAGTTTGCGGCGAGGGCCTCCATTATGATGACAAAGAGGAAGGGGGCAATTGGATCACCTTGTCTTACTGATCGTTCCAATTCAATGGGGGGGGTCAGGTTCCCATTTATCATAACCCATGTAGTGGCGTTAGAGTGAAGGATCTCGATCCACTGACTGAACGGGACATCTTGTAAGTATTAGATATATGACCGTTCACCTGCACTGCTCCTAGGGCGTCATTATATAGAACTCTTACCCATTTCCTAAAATTGGGGCCTACTCCCATTGTTTCCATACACTGTTGTAGAAAGTCCCAGTTGACTTGGTCATAGGCTTTTTCAAAGTCAAAGAAAAGAATTGCTGCATTCATTTTTTTGTCCTTGATATACCTTATTGATTCAGCTAGAGTCATTACATTATCTAGGATGAATCTGCCCGGAATGAAACCTGTTTGGTCGATGTGAAAACAACTTTTGGTGATCTTTCTTATCCTGTTGGCTAGTAGTTTGGCCAAGATTTTGTACGCTACTGTTAGAAGGGTGATTGGTCTGTAATTCTTTATGTCCATGGGGTCCCCTTTCTTGTAAAGTAGCGTAACTATTCATGTACTTAGAAAAGGACCTAAGCTTTCTTTGTCCCATGCTGACTGTATAAAATTGCAGAAATCTTCCCCTAATAAAGACCAGTATGTTTGCCAGAATTCTTTGGAAAGATCATCTAGGCCTGGTGTTTTCCCTTGTTTCATGGTATCTAGGGCTTTTCTCAGTTCTTCACTGGTGATTGGTTGGTCCAGTTCTAAAGCTAAGGGGGTCGTAATTGTCTTGTCTAGGTGTTTGCAAAATTTTTCTCTAGCTTGTTGGACTGGCCATGGTTTGGGGTTTTCAGTTTTGGTGGAATAAAGATTTTTGTAGAAGGTTTCTGCTATGGAAAGCATTTTTGTTGGGTTGGATGTCAAACCTGCTTCTCCTCTTAGTTGTAGGATGGTTGAGTTTCTTCCTCTGGATTTGATTTTTTGAAAGAAAAACTTGGTCATTTTTTCACCTTCTTCCCATTCTTTGATCCTAGCTCTTAGTCTTAAGCCGTTCGCCTTCCACGCATTCCAGTTAGCTAGTTCTGTTCTGGTTCTGGATAGTAATTCCTCATAAAATGTAACAGATGGATTACTCCTAAGGTTTGTTTCCACGAGATTAACTGCTGCTTCTAATTCCTTTATGCGCTGGTTTCTTTTGGCTGCCAATTTTCTAGAGGTAGTCGAGGCTGCTTTGGAGAGGTTGGCCACTAAGGTAGGGAAGTCTGCTTCCTCCCCCTCTGAATCTATGCAAGCCTGGACTAATTCTTCTCTCAATTCGCGTCTGTTTAGGATGGAGTTATTGATCTTGATGAAGCCTGGTCCTCTTTGTAGTCCTGGGTCAAAGAGAAAATCAATGTATATAGAATTATGATCCAGACCGCTGTTATAGGGGAGCTTCCCTACTCCTGTATTGATAATTGTTCCTCTTAGGGAGTCAGATACTAAGAAATAGTCTAAGGCTGAGCTCGTGATGTGCTGAGTTCTGTTTCTTTTCCTATATGTGAGTCTGTTTGCTTCTGGAAAGAGTGTTCTGAGAGGCTCTATAAGGTTTCTTTCTAGTATTAAAGCGTGTAATATCTGGGCTTCAGATTGAAGTGTAGTTTCTCTATCTCTTTGTGAGCTTGAGAGTCTGTCCCTGGTCGGGTCTAGCGTGGTGTTCCAATCACCTGTTAGAATTATGTGCTTGTTCACATCGCACTTATTTGTTAAGTTCTGTATGAATGTCTGTCTTTGTGGGAAGTCATTTGGTGCGTAAACATTTATTAATTGGAATGCTTCCTCTTTGTAGTTGAAGTGGAGTTCTGTCCATCTACCATTCTCTACGTCGTGTTTGCTTTCTATTGTCTTAATTAAGTTGGCTGCTCTCGAGTTTTGGTGGAGCAGGATTGCTGTTCCTGCTGAACCCACTCTCGGGGAGGGGGCCCAGATGCCTATGCGTACGTATTTTAGCCTGGCTACGATTCTGTTGGTTATTGCTTTGTGTTCTGGGGACTCGGTTAAGTGTGTTTCTTGTAGACATACTATATCGGGCGGGTTCTTATTAAACCAGTTTAAGTAGCTCATCAAGTTGTCCCATTTGTCTGTGTTAGATAATATTGAAGCTAGGCCGTTAACATTCCATGACATCACTGACATCTCGGGCTCCTTGATTCTGACTGTGTAGTGTTTGGTCCGGCCTGTCTCTTGGTCATACTCTGACCTTGGGTGTGCTGTCATGGAATGTGGGTTTGGGACCTAGTGTTGTTGTTTGCTTGTTGGAGAGCTAGTTGAAAGGTGACTCGTTGTAGGGGGCGAGTCGTATTTTCACCTGTCTCGCATTTGTTTCCAACACCTGTTCCCGGTGGTCTTTCCTACCATCAAAGAGAAAGTGACCTTCGACTAATGAGGCTGAGACAACGACCCTTTCAGCGGGGATTTCTCCTCCCATTAGGCCGTAGGGAATTGCGTGCAACACCTTCCATGGTTTCCAAGCCATGTGGTCCATAAGTTGTGCCTCCATCGAGTAACGTACCATGTACGGTCTGAGATCGATGGCCAGGATGTCTCCCGCGTCGTCTAACCATTCCTCTCTCCATTCTTCCTTGGAGCCCAGTATGTGCGCAGCTTCTGGAGCATCCTTTGAGATGTTGGCCGCTAGGACCTTGTTGGATGGGCTGCTCAATGCTAAGAGGGACCATGATCTGACGACTGCGATCTCCCAATCCTGGTGCTCTTCGTTCCAATGGTATGGTATGACTATTTTTTTCCTGCACCCCCCCTTGGCTTCCAGTCTGGCTGCTGTGAGGATTTCTGCGTTCTGTCCCTGCGCTAGTCCCTGCAGGTTGATAGTGTCGTCTGCTGTTTCCCTGTTCGGGTCTCTGAGCACTGTGATCTGAGCGTGCAAGATTTCTTTCTGTCTGTCCAGATCTTCTCTTGTGTTCAGTAGGATGTCCTCGCCTTCTCTCCCTTCCATCTGTGTTGGGCTGGGTGGATTTCTTTGTTCGTTCCTCTTTGCGCCCTTGGACTTTTTGCTCGGATGTATTCCTTCTGATTTTGTGTATGTCTTTGGCCATTTGAACGGGTACTGTTCGGAGTGATCATTATTCCCACGTTGGTCCAATCTTTGTCCGTATCGCTCTGCGAAAAAATCGGACAGTTCGTGTTCCTTTTCCAGTATTTCAAACTGGTTTTGAGTCGGGATTTGAATGCTTGAGTCAGACTGGTTGAAGTTGACGTTTTGCAGATTAAGGAGGTGTCTTTTGTGTGCCACTCGGACTTCGAACTCCACTTCCCTTTCTCTTTCTAGCTTCCTGACATAGTCATTAAGCCATTCCAGAGAGTTCTCGCTCCCTCCTTCCTCATCCTCCCCTAGCTGTTCGTCGAGTTGGTCTGTGTTTTCCCCCTTGGAGTCCTGGGACATTTTGTCATCCTCTTCGACGGGTGTCTGTTCTCTGGCTTTGTCCTTCTGACCTTCCCCTGTCCCTTCTTCCTCTTCATCCCTTTTCCCCTTGTCCATTGAGCCCTTACATCCTTCATCGTTCTCATCCTTGGTTTTCTCTGATCCTCCTTGTTCTCCTTCCTTCGCATCTGTATCCATTTGGTCTGCTGTTGAGCAAGATTCATTGACTCTGCTCACCTTGCTGGCGGTCTGGCTGTTGGCTGACTGTGCTGAGTTGTCTTGCTCCGCCTTCCGTTTGAGCGGTTTGCTTGAGCTTTCTGTGGGGCTGGAACTGTTCTTGTGTATTGCTTCCAGATCATCTTTCCGAGGACCTGCCTTTTGTGCTTTTTCTGCAGATAGTACTTTTTCCCTTGCCTGTAGATTTTCAATGAATGCCTTTTCTGTAGAGATTCCTGCTCTGATGAGTTCTTGCCATGTGTCTCTTCTTTGCTTGTCCTCCATGATCCCTTGTGGGTCCATGATTTGTTGTCTGTGAAAGCCACAGTCTTTGTCTTCGATTCTTTTGGATCCCTTCTTTTGCCACTGACTTCCATAGGGTGGATAGATGTCCGGTTGTATTGTCGGATCGTCTTTCATCGTCCATGTCCATTTTGGAGTCTCCATCGTATCGTCGAAAACCCACCCTCTATAGGCTGGGTCATTGACAAACCACAGTCCCGCTTTTGATTCGCATTCCACCAGGTTGGCCTGGATTTGGCCTGGTTTGGTGCCTCTTTCCCTGTTGAGCGGGCAGTTTCTGTCCGTACCCAGATGACCCTTCCCTCTGCATCTGAAACACCGAGGGTTGGTTTTGGTGGACAGGTACACTGTCAGCTTTTATCCGTTTCTCAAAAAAAGCCATGCGTCTGGGAATTGCGGAGGAATTCCTGATGGGACTTGCAGACAGGCTATTCTTGAGTCATGATTGGGAGCCAAAAAATCAGGACCCGAATCAAACCATTCTACAGCCGGGTTGAACGGGTAGGCTTCTGCCAGTCTTCTTTCGACGAAGCTGTGCAGCCCTTCCGGAATGTTGTCGAATTGGATCCAGAAGTTGTTCTTGTTTGTGCCTCGAAGTATCTGGCTGGGGAGCTCTTCTGGGTTTCCAACCGGTGACTGTGACAACACCCTTCTTGCATTTCAGGCTGTTGAGGGAGATGAGGTACCTGGCGTAGGCTCCATCTGGGCATACTATCATGACTGTGTTCCTTGCCCGTCTGTGATAAGTGACAATCGGTTCCGTACCTGGTATTTCTTCTAACGATCTGAGAATATCCCTTACCCAAGTGCGTTTTTCGTTTGGAGACATGTATGAGCACTTCTGAGGGAAGTTGAAGAGGACTGCATGTTTCTCAAAACATCTCATTGCAGCTTGCTTCATCTTCTTCTGGATACTCCCAAATTTCTAACGTTTGGCTTTCCCCCCCCTGTTCGGCCGGGATTGATTCCTTGATAATGTTAACTTTGGATTTGACTTGTGTGTTTGAGATCAGGAACTCCATAGCCCTTTGGCTCAGTGTTTTGTGRGGCGAGGGTGCTGTKTTCTGGGAATTCCCTGTTGATTGTGGTTGTGTGCCCGACTGTGTCCTGCTTGGGCCCTGCGGGTGCTGTCCTCCAGGGGAAGACATGCCCGTTGGTCCTGTGTCATCCTTTGGTTTGGGTGATGTTGCTGATCCTGTGGMTAGTGCTTCAGCGAATGTCTTTGCCATGTTACMTGGGGTACTTGGCTTCTCAGACAACGAGCCTGATCTGTATAGACGGTCTTGCAAATGGCAACAAGGGACGTGAAGGGAATGCGGACGCTCTGCGTGTGGGTCTGTGCTCTGAAAAAATTGGCCAGCGTTTA